GCCCCTCAGCACCTCTGTAGCCTCTGTCATACTCTCCCCAGTAGCTCCTTGTCTCTCTTGAACTGGGGAGGCCAGAACTGGACCCAGTATTCCAGAGGTGGCCCCACTGAGGCAGAGCAGAGGGGTAGGAGAACCTCCTCAGCCTGCTGGCCACACTGTGCTTAATGCATCTCAAGGTACCATTGGCCTTGGCCCCAAGGGCACACTGCTGGCTCCTGGTGAACTTGTCCACCAGCACTCCCAGGTCCTTCAAGCTCCAGCCCCTCAAGCTCTTCCCCTGTGGCTCCCAAAACTGAACCCAGTACTCTGAGGCAGAGCAGAGGGGTAGGAGAACCTCCTCAGCCTGCTGGCCACACTGTGCTTAATGCATCTCAAGGTACCATTGGCCTTGGCCCCAAGGGCACACTGCTGGCTCCTGGTGAACTTGTCCACCAGCACTCCCAGGTCCTTCAAGCTCCAGCCCCTCAAGCTCTTCCCCTGTGGCTCCCAAAACTGAACCCAGTACTGAACCTTTTCCTGTGGCCTCCCCAGTGTCAAGTCCAGGAGAACAATCACTTCCCTGCTTCTGCTGGACACACTTTGATCTGGGCCAGGATGCTGGTGGCCACCTGGGCACACTGCTGGCTCACCTTCAGCTGGTGTCCCCAGGGCCTTCTCTGCCAGGCAGTTTCCAGCCACTCTGCCCCAAGCCTGGAGCTTTGCCTGGGGTGGTTGTGACCCACGTGCAGGATGTTGGTGATCCTGGCTCCGTGGGGAGTGCCTCTGGGTTTAATGGTGTCCTTGGTGTCTCTTCCAGTGCTGTGGTGATGTTTCTGGTGGAGGAAGTCCAGAGGAATATTTTTGATCAGCGATGTGTAGAAAATGAACTTTGGAACAGGTAAAGGCTGAATTTTCCTGGAAGGGGCAGGGGAGGATATTTTAGTTTTTGAGAAGGGAAGCAGAGTGAGCTGCTGCCAGATCCTGGTGTGTCCCTCAGGGCAGCCTGTGGGACCTCTCCAGGCTCTCCAGCAGTCACAGTGCATCAGCAGGGGAGGAGGAGTAGGTTTTACTTTGTCACCCACTCAAGGACAAAGTCAGAACACACTGTAGTTCCTGGGACTGTGAGGGGGCACATCTTGGTATGTAACCAGCCTCCCAAAGCCTCTCACCAGCTCTTCACTGGAGATACCAGCAGCCATCAAAGCCTCTGATCTCCAGGGCTGATTCCTTGCTGGGTTTGTGCCTGTGGAGTCCTCAGAGCTGCACCATGGTGGCTTTGCTGCCAAGTCTCTTAGATAAGACAACGAGGAGAAGAAGGGGGTTGATGAGGGTCCTGCTTGCTCTCTGACTTGGGATTTGGCATAGGGCGTTTCCTAGCTTAATTAACAAAGCTTCTAACTCATTGTGAAAGATCTGGGCCAAGTAACCAAGGTGCTGTGGAGTAGAGGACTTGGAGGAGGAGGTGTTGGGGAGGTCCAGCCCTGAGCCTGTGCTGGAGCAGTGGGAGGTGTCTCCAGATGAGCAGGTCCACAGTGCCACTGTGTGGAGGAGGTAAAACATGCAGGAAGTCACTCGTCTGTCTGCAGCTCTCTGGTTTGAAGCCAACAGGGAGTGAATCTGTTGTGTAGGGATGAAAAAACCCAAATATTGTAGGAGGTGGGAAGAGAGTATGGAAAAATCCATGGTGCTGGGGCACGTGTTGTGTGTCCTGCAGGGCTGGGGCTGGAGGTGGAGGATGAGTGCTGTGAACAGGGACTGGCTGAGCCTGTCTGTTCTTCTGGTCTGTGCTGCAAAGCCTGAGGTTATTTGTGGAGGAGCCCAAAGATCCTCCTGGCTGGAGCCAGCAGTTCCCCCTGGGGTGCCTGTGCCCAGCCTGGTGACTCTCCTGCCCCTCTCTCCACAGGAACATTCGGGTCATCAGGAGGCGCTTCAGGGACGTGTTTGAGCAGGGCTCTCTGGATGAGGCCAGGAGGCTCTTCATGTGAGTGTCTGCCAACCTGTGTGGTGCTGGGTGGGTGGGCCACAAAGGGCCACTCACCACCAGAGCTGGTGGTCCCTCCTGAGGGCAGGCAGTGGCTGGCTGGGAAAGCTGTTCTCTGCCATGCTCCAGGCTGCTGCTGCCACCTCCCCTCAGAGCCAAGATCAGAACAATGATTCTGTTCTCACAGTGGGGAGGCTTTGCACATGCACACCCCCCAGTGCCTTACAGCTGGAGGCACAGTTGCCCTCCTTTAGGCCACAGCCATCAGGGCTCTGCAGGATCTTCACTTCCTCCACACACATCTGCTCTGCAAAGTCCTGCCTCTTCCCAGGGCTCTGCCAGCAGGACTTGGGCTGGCTTAGTGGTGCTGGAGGGGGGAGCATTCCGTGTGGTGATGGTCCCTGTTGGGTCTGAGGACACTCAGCATGCTGCCTGCTCCCTGTGGAGGCCAGGACGTGAGGCTCACAGGATCCAAGTGCTGGCAGTTGGTCCCAAATGTGACTTTTGTCTTGTTTCCAGGGCAATGTGCTTGCGAGTGTACAGGCCTCAAGGAAGACACAGTTTCATGGCAGTGACTTTTCTGTAGTTAGACTGATTTTCCCATCACCTTTGGTGCCTCCACTGTGATTAATTACCAAACACACTTGTCATCCCCAGACAGCTGAGGGGAAAGTGTATGCACTGTGCTTCCCCCTGAGCATCTTCTCCTGAGGAACCTCTTTACAGTTACACTGCCCAGAGGTTCTGTGCCTCTTCCCCTGACCACAGCACACAGTTTTTGGGGCCAGAGTTTGGGTGTGAGGTGCCATGGGTACCCTGATGGCCCTGCCCTGACAGGACACTGTAGGGCCTGGGCAGGTTGTTGAGTTGCTGTCCTGCCTTAAATTGCTGCTGGAGAAGGACCCTGTTCCCTCCCAGCTTCAAGAATCACCCAGGCCTGGCTCCCAGTGGCAAAAACTATTAAGAAAACTAGGTTCTAGCCAGGAGCAGAAGAGCTGAGGAGGCTGAGGGGATGGGGCAGATGCTGCCACACGTTGCCTGCCTGACCCCACTGCAGCCCCCTTGGTGCTGGGGGGGGTTTGGTGGGCAGGGCCTGGCCTGGTTCTGTGAATGCTTCTGGTCTGTGTTGCAGGGATGGCCAGGAGGTAGCTGTGGTCTACTACAGGGAGGGCTACGTGCCAGAGAACTACAACGAGCAGGTCAGTACTGCTCACCCTGCTCTGGGCAGCTGCCCATGCTGTGGCCAAGCCCAGCCAGTGTGAAACCCCCTGTGGTGGTGGGGATGTCTGTCCTGTCCTGGGTGAGGCCAGTCCTGATGGTGCTGGGGAGCTGTGGCTCCTCAGGGCTCGTGGCTGTCCCTGCAACCCATGCAGTAAGAAAAGAGTGAGGCAAGAGAGGC